TTTAGCCATAATGGCTAGAGATTATCTTGCAATTACAGGTAATAAAATATATATTTATTGATTATTTTAAGGTTTATCAAATATTAACTAAAAATTTTTTTTAATAAGCAACGAGCGTTCCAGTAGAACGAGTTTTTTCTGGTGGCGCCAATTTAATAGCAACCAAAAGATGTGGGCTTAAAGCTAACACAATTCGCGCCTGTATGTGTTTGAAATCCTGGTGGCAATAAAATATATATAAAAAAAATTCTAAATTAGGATTAATGCGTAACAAAATAAATAAAACTTACAAATTTTATAAATATACTTCTTTTAAATATCCCCGTTTAAATAATTTTTTTTTAATTTCGGTATTAATATTACCCTTGAAAATTCGAGTCGAACCCGGGTTAAAAATAATCGGGTCGGGTCAAACAATAATCGGGTCGAGTCGAGTTCGGGTCTTGTAAATATTAACGGGTTCGAGTTCGAGTTTGCTTCAAACCCGACCCGACCCGACCCTTACGGAGCACTAGTTGTTACCAGTCACATTGATGATATAAATGCAATAATACATTGGTTGATGCCTGAAAAATTAAAAAGTATATCTGAAAATCAAGATTCGAAAACTAATAAAACCAAGAGTTATACGATTCAATATGATATTTTCAGGTAAGTTCTTTTTTTTTTTTAAAAAAAAGTTCATGCATTATTCTTTATTAATATTTTTAGTTTTGTGATGCTTCTTTGGGAGCTTGGCTTTCAGAAAACGCCATATAAAGGTATGAGTATATCTGTTATACAAAAACATGTTTTAAAAGGTAATAGAGAAAGATTTGGCTCTGAAGCATGTTCTGATCCAATTCAAAAAGCGTATTATAAAGCTATTAAATTTGGTTGGGTACATGAACCATCATTACGAATTTTCAATATGTTACAAAATTATATGAGAAACTTATCATTAAAATTTCTCCATCATTACGGTTGAAAGAAAATTTGAGTGAAGATTTACAAAATCATAAGTCTATTAATAAAGTTATACCATTAACTCCATTCAAAGAAGGTTTAGTAGCTCACAAAAAACAAGATTATGCAAAGGCTTGGAAATGTTTTGAAGAGCATGCTAATGTTGGAGATACTGTATATTGGCAAAATACTAGAAAGGTTATTATTATTAGAAGTAAGATATGTAAATAAAAAGATTACAAAGGCTATAGAAATATTTAAAGAAGCAGCAGACAATGGAAATGGTGATGCTCAATTGCGTTATGCGTTTTGTTTAATTGATAAAGGAAATGAAAATAATAATCATAGTAACTTTTATAAATATTTGAAAATGTCAGCTGATAATGGAATTCTACGGCCATGTATAATCTTGGTGAAATGTATTTTAAATGGCAAGATGGTATTCAAAAGGATCAAAACAAGGGAGTTCAATATTTAAAATTGGCTGCTTTAAAAGATCAACAGAAAGTAATAGATATTTTGAAAAGATATAAGATTAGTTTATTTGATTCAAATCATAAAGAAAAAATTTCCATGAAAATCTTAAATTATTCACCGTAACATTCGGACAAAATCGATAATATTTCCGGAAGGATACAGTGATTGCAATATTTTAAAAAATATTTTGTCTATCTTATTCCTCCTCCGAAAGTGTTAATTTAATTTTTGATATATATACATTATACCAATTATTTTAATTTAACCCTCATATATAATATGGGTTTTATTATAGATATAGTGAATTTAATAATTTTGCGCTAAGTTCTTAAAGTTTATGTTTATAAACGAATGGAGAAGATAGCAGAAGGTTTTTAATTTAGCAAAAATGATGCAAAAATTAATCAAGTACTGCTAGTCAATTTTATTAGTTGCGAAATTACTGCGGTTAATCAAAAACTATTCCATCGTGAATTTCAAATCTAATGTCAACTTTAAATATTTTCTACAAATTAAGAAAACGGCAAACAAAATAATAATAAGGATAATAAAATTACAACAATGTTCCTTTAGCAAACTACCCACAATAAGGCAACTCTTATCAAAGTATTTTAATTATTTTATTTGCTAATAATGGTAATAAAATCATGTTTTAAACATGTCTATTATTGGTGACATTTTATCTCGCTTGCATATGTCTTCACCATTAATAAATGCTTTTTTGCACGTATTTCCTCCAATTAGTTAGCTTCAGTTGGGTGCGTATATAAAAATTTTTTGACAAAAAAAAGATCCGGACTTAACTTTTGTACGAGGAGTGAAATTAGTTGTACTTGTACCAAAGAAATAAATAAATAAAAATTATGTGAATGAAAAAAACTTCTTAGGCAATTCTATACTATAAAATAAAATAAAAATTGAATGGAATGTAGCAGATTATTGTAAAACCTGTCGGATCTGGCTTTCTAAATGGCAAACTGGATGCGCTGTATATATTGAGACTGTTTTTTCGATATCCTTAATTCAATGATGTTTTCAGTGATATTGTTTCGATAACAAAATAATTTTTGCTTATATGTGAGAATGTACGTATTTTTGTTTATTACATTAAATTTTTACATAGGTTCGTTTATTTAACTTTTGATCGGAATTTAAAAATAGTCACATTATCATGAGAATTTTTTGACGTCAATCGGCTTTTTCTAACTCTTTAATTTGTATTTAAAATTTTGAGACATTCAATTATTCGTCATATTATAAAGGTATTGTACAAGTGTAACAGGCCTGTTAACCGAATTTTAAGTTTAATAAATGATTTAAAATATAACTTTATAATAAGTTGAATCATGAGAAATTCTTATATTTAAATTAGGTAATTTATTTAGTTGGTTGATTAGTTTAATTAGACAAATTATTATTAATAACGGTTAAGGCTAATGAAAATTAGAAACAATTCATTGAAAATGTCAATTTTAAAAAGTTGCGCCAATTAAATATATATTTCATAGGAATAGAATTCTTTTTCCATTTGATTTATTTATAAAACAAAGTATCGTAAACCTTTAAAATTGTATAAAACTCATTATAAATCTTAAATAAATAAATAATTATCAATATAATTTAATATCATTGCTCTTCAAACTATCTATTGCTTTCTGTTGACCTTTTAAAGCAGCCAATTTTAAATATTGAACTCCCTTGTCATGATCCTTTTCAATACCCAACCTACCACGTAAATATATTTCACCAAGATTATAAAGAGCAGTGGAATTATCATTATCGGCCGACATTTTTAAATATTTTAAAAACTTGGTACAATCAATATGTTCATTTTCCTTATCAATCAAACAAAAAGCGTAACGTAATTGAGAATCTGCATTTCCACCATCAGCAGATTCTTTAAATAATTCTTTGGCCTTCGCGAGATTTTTTTCAACGTACCTTCCTTCTAAATAATAATACCCTTGCCAGTATTTTCCCAACATATCTCCAACATTTGCATGCTCTTCAAAACATTTCCAAGCCATTTCATAATTTTTTTTTTTATGAGCCACCAAACCTTCCTTGAATGGAGTTATTGGTATAATAGAATTATGAACTGGAATTGAGAAATTTGGTTTATCCTCATCAGAATTCTTTAAAATATGTTTTTCATATAATTCTTGTAGCATATTGAAAATTTTTTGAGTTCCTGGACGTAATGATGGTTCTTGTACCCAACCAAGGTTAATAATTTCACAATACTCTGTTTGAATCGGATCAGGACGCGATATAGAGTCAAACTTTTCTCGATCACCTTTTTGAACATGCTTTTGTATCTCAGTTATGTTCATATTTTCATATGGTTTTTTCTGAAAGCCAAGTTCTCAAAGAAGCATTACAAAACTAAAAATATTTTAATAAAAAGTAAGAATTAAAAAGGAATTCTTTTTTTTTTTTTAGGGAAAAAAATTTTTTTAAAGAAAATTGAAACGACTCTACTAACCTAAAAATGTCACATTGGATGGTATAACTAATAGCTTTATCTTTCATACCAGATATATTTTCTAATTTTTCAGGAGCCAACCAATGAACTATAGCATTCATATCATCTATTTGACTGGTGGCAGCATTAAATTTACGAGAGAATTTGAAATTGCATAGTTTGGGTTGCATTTTTTCGGTAATTAGCACGTTCTCACACCTAATATCATGATGCAATATCTCCACTACCAATAAAAGACAAATTTACGTTATAATTTTTAAGAATGACACGTCTTTAACAAAGAAAGAATCATACCTGTATGCAAAAAAATCAACCCACGACAGATATCTCTTGCGAAAGAAATCTTTGCATCCCATCCAATAATATAATTCTGATATAATTCGCATAAAGTTCCGTATTCGGCCCATTCAAAAACCATTACATCGCTTGTATCTAATCTTGATAGTCCATAAAATTGAATAATGTATGGACAAGCTTTCAATTTTCTCAAAATAGCAAGATGCCTTTGGTTCATCTTGTCCGTAGAAAAGTATTTACAAGCAACGTATTTTTCTTTATAAATTTTTTTCAAAACCGCTACCTTTTTACCTTTACGCGAAACTGGCTCTGCAGTATATTTCAATTCCGAAGGTTCAATTTGTCCATTAAGTTCAGTTTGTCCATTAATATCAATTTCAGATTTTGAACATTGATTCAGATAGCGAATCGTATCAATTTCACCATTGAGTTGAGCAAAGTTAAACGTTTTATTTGTGTTTTTGTATTCTAAGAGTTCGTTGTTTTGTTCAATGATTTTTTGATTCTGCTCTTCAATGTTATTAATTTTAATAACGATGTTATTATTATTTAGTCTAAATTCGGTGGAATTGTCGTTAGTTTTTCTATTATTGACCAAATATGTAATACCACCTTCAATATTATCTAAAAACATCTTCATCTCTATAAGATCAGAATTTAAAATTGAAATCAATTGTTCATTTGTAATGGACCTAGCCAACCTTAAATGTTTTGAACAATTATCAAAGTCTTTAAGAATCTTCTCAAAGGTTTCTTCAATATTCCTACTTGAAATAAATTTTTTAAATCCTAATAATTGGGAAATATCATCAAAAAATTGTTTAATTTGGTTTAAACAATTTACTAATTTACAAAAGGAATTGTAATAACTTTGACTGCAAAATTTCATAATATTATTCTCTTTTTGCCTTATTAATCCTTTAATCGTAAATTCTACAGCTTCGAATGTGGTTACTAATGCACCACAAGTTTTTTTATTATATTGAACATTCTCATAAGCGTACGATATCTCTTTTGTTAAAGTAGTTATCGTTGTTACAAGAGGTAAGAAAGGTGCAACTGCCTCGTTTACGTTTACTCTATTCATAATTATTACATTTATTGGATCTGCTGCTACAGTTATTCCTACTTCTGATTCAAAAGTAAGGTCGGTTTTACTTACAAACCTTCCTAAACTTCCATTCATAATCCTGGATAATTCAGTCGTTGTAACATGATTTGATTCTAATAGTGTTTTACTAGGAGGTATATCATTCTCAGATGTTTTCAAATCAATGCTTTTAATTTCTTGAGTATTTTTCGGTGAAATTATTGATTTCAAAGTTTCAACAACTTCTTGAATTATTGGCCTTTTAACTGGATCACTATCCCAACATTCTAATAATTTTAAATTAACTTAATTAAATTAAAATATATTTAAACTATAAAATTTATTTAAAAAATTTCACTTACTCGTGTAAAGGTTAGAATATTTTTCAGATGTTCCTTCTATAATATCTTCTCTCAATCCTTTTGAAATTTCCATAGCTAAGGTTACATCATAAGCATCATCATCATCATCGTCAATTACAAAAGGTCTTTTCCCACTAGATAATTCCCATAATAATACACCCACACTATAAACATCACTTTTCTTATCCAATTTGTATTTTCTTGAGATAGGCCTTCCTCCTCTTAGTGAAGTGACTCTTTCAAATCCTTTTGGGTCAATATATGGGATTACACCAAATAATTTTGACTCAACTCCAGTACTTTCTTCAATACGTTTGCTTAATCCAAAATCCGCTAATTTTATTGAACCTTGATGCATAAGTACATTGCTTGAATGTAAATCTCTGTGTATTATTCCTTCATTATGTATACATTCTACTGCGCTTGATAATTGGAACGCTAATCTGTATTTACCTTGCCAATTAAGGTTGGTAAAATTCTTTTTTAAATATTTATGAAGCGTGCCTTCATCTGCATATTCTAATGCCAATAAATATTTTTTATCTAAAAAAATAAAATAAAATTCAATATTAACATCTTTTCCTTTTTTGGTTATAGGTAGACAAATCTAAAAATTTCGAAGTAAAAGTGTCATTAGAAGTCCATTACCTGAATTGGTTCTAGTTATTCCACAAAAACGTATTATATAATCATAAAAATCTACTTCTCGATGTAATTTCAACTAAAAAAAAAATGAAAATGAAAAAAAAACTAAATTAAATACATTTTAAGAACGTTAAACAATTATTTTCCTTCCGCCTCCAACTAAATACCTCGTTAACAATCTTTTCCATGGTAGTAAATTTGTCTGAACTAAATGATTTTAATGCAAAATATTTTTCACCATATTTAGCTTTATAAACTTTGCCAAATGCTCCTTTACCTATTTCTTCTTTCTCTATAAATTTATCATAATCGTAATATTTTATGTGCTTATCCACTATACATTTTTCTATCCATTCTATCGATTTCTCAATAGACATTTTTATTTAAGAATCCTTTAGAATAAAATGAAATGACAAATATATAGCAAAATTCCCGATTCTGGACCTGTGTAATGGAAGCAAAATATTAAATTTGGCATAGATCGTCTCATCAAAACCTTAGGCGGGCGCAGTAATAATTTTAGAAATCTTCCAGGGCTAAAATTGTTTTTTCGCACATCTATAACCGGATTAGTGCACAAAACTTTATTTCAAAATCTTTAGATTTTTTGTGTTTTTGAAGGAATTTGGATTCCAAAAATAAATAACGTCTCTGAATCTTATATAGAACCATTAAAACTCAGTCAATGGTCAGGCATGGAAAGGTTGCTAAGCTAATCAGTTCTGAGCATTTTTATTATTATTGCATTAAATGTAATAAGATTTAAATTTTAATCAAAAAATTCTCAACATGTAACCCTCCTGTATGATTAAGTAAAAAATTTCTTATCATAATATATATATTTTTTTTCATTTTTAAATTGAAAATTTTTTTATTTATATTGGTGATGAATAATAGTACATAATTCTTTTTTATTTAATTTTATTTTTTAAAAAAAAAAAAATAAAATAAAATACAAATTCAAATTTTTTTAGGTCTAATATAAACATCAAATTTCTCACAATATGTGATACCACCGGCAAAACCTTTTATAATAGGCTGATTTGAAATAGTTGATTCGATATCATACTTTGAAAAGAATCGTACAAGGAAAGATTTAAGTTGTGCCATAACAAGTAATCTACCAGGACAATGCCTAACTCCCCCACCGAATTGATAGAAAGCTTTTAGCTTTTTCAAATCATTATCCAAGAATCTATCAGGATTAAATGCATCTGGTTCAACCCAATAATTTTCATTATTATTAAGACTATAAAAATTTGTCCAAAACATTGTTCCCGGTTCAAAAGTATACCCACAAAGTTCAACTCGATTATTTGACGTTCTAAAGAATACTTCATTTACCGGACAAATACGAGCAGTTTCATGAATAACAGCCTCACAGTAACGAAGTTTATCAAGTGATTCAATTGTAATTGTTGGTGATAAATTTACACCATAAACTTGTTCAATTTCTTTAATCAACTGATCTTTGACTTTAGGATGATTACAAAGATAAGCCAAGACGAAAGATATCGTGGCCATAGTAGTATCAGTTCCTCCAATAATTAATTCCACTATAATCTTACAGATTGAAATGTCAGATAAAGGTTCGGAATAATCCCCCAACCTAATTTTATTTTGATCACGTGATGTGTTCGTCGTAATCATCATGGTCAAAAGATCCGATGGTAATTCTTTTTCGACGGACATCGCTTCTATCTCTTGACGCCTTTCTTTAACCCTTTTACTAATAACATCTTCAACTCGATAAAATAAACCAATAATCATATCGTTTAAATATTTAAAAATTGTGTGTCTAATACAACTTGGCACGTTAATGATAAACATTCCACCCTTTAAGGCAGCAAAAAGGTTATCAATGAGATCACCGGATTGCTTTAAAAGATGTTGAGGAATGTCAAGTTTTTTGTCACTTAAACGATTAAAATAATTTGCTTTGGCATAACTTTTCTTACTAATGGTGGTTTCAATGATTAAATCATTAGTAAACGCTCTCGTCCACTTTGGCACTTCAATCACGGTACAATTATCATGTTCGGCGACACCAAATAAATCCCAATATTGAAATAATTCATCACAATTTTTTTCAATCAATTTAATTGTATTCCTTAAAAATACCCTAGACATCAAGGTTTGAGAAAGTATTTTGCGATTAATACTCCAATCTTTTATATCTCTATTAAACATCAATCCATTTTTTTCCAAACCTATTTCATTAATTCCTTTATTTGGTGGCAACCTATAAATAAAATCATTTTTCTTGATGGACGTAGGAGAATAGATTTTTTCCACCTCATCTAATCCTGATATAAAAATGGATCGATTCGAACCAAAATATACTTCAGATATATTCCCATATTTTGAATCTAAATGCTTTGCTATCTTCGTACCATCTAGACCGAGTTGTAACAAGTTTCCAACAATAGGGAACGGAATTGGTCCAGGAAGAGGATTTTTACGCGTAAAATAATTATAATAATATCGTAAAACGTAAGCTCCTATGACCAAAAACGAGACTGTTATCCAGTCAATCGTTGTAATGTTTAAGCATAATAGAGCCATTTTATCATACGAATTTTTTCACGTATCAGTATGTATGCAAAGAGTAAAATAAAATAATGAATCTTTTTTTCTTTATAGTTTTTTTAATAGAAGCAAATTTCCATTTTGTGATGTACCTATATTTAGTGTCAATCTGCAAAACACAGAACCTTACTTACAATAGCTCTCATATGATTTACCTAAATTTTACGCCCAATCGGACCAATAATAACGTAAGTTGAATGTGTTTTCACGAGGATATTTGCGAATGTTTTGTTTGGATTTTACCCTGGATGATTACATGAGTGACAAATAAACATCACCACCAAAAATATTCCAAGTCCCTCAGGTATTGAAACTAGAGGTTGGAACCGGTGAATTAACCGGTTAAGACGTTTATCTTGTTAACCGGTTAAAATTTTCTTTAACCGGTTAATTAACCGGTTAAATTTAACTCAGGCCGGCACTATAAATTTGGGCAAAACTAGCAAATTTTGTAATTTTTGTAATTGCAAAAAAATTTTAATTCTGCCCGAAAATTAAATTTCGGCCAGAGTTAACATTGTTATTTTAACCGGTTAAAAAAAAATCTTTAACCGGTTATTAACCGGTTAAGGATTTACTACTTTATCATGAGGCATAAGTGTAGTATCACTTTATTAAAATTTGTATATCGTTAAAAGAAGCATATTGGATAAACTTTGGTCGAGTTGAAACACTACCGGTGTCACGCTGTTGATAAATCACCTAAGCCCCAACACTAATATCAATTATACCAGCTAATCGGAAAGTGGGTGAAATTAGTAAAACCGTTTGTTTGACAGTTCGTAGCTGATGTCATAGTAATCAATAAAGAGAGTGCATTGTATTTGTTTGCATTCAAAAATGCATGTACATTTCGCATATTTCACATTCACATAAATGGATGCGGATTATGATTTAATGACGGATTTATTTGTTTAATAATTTTTTTAAATATAAAAAAAAGTTGCACATTTATTGATAGATTTTAAAGCGTGACATTGCATTTTTAATAAATTTACGATTCTGGACAGAAGAAATATTAGCAATGTGGGTTGCTTAGATCGTTGTGAATGTGGACATACCTAACGGCATTTTTTTTAAAAATGAAATTTTAATTATTCACTTCGATTTTAATTAGTAATCAATGATGGAATGCGGATTTAAATTCATTATTAGAATACTATATAACATGTTTCATTTCATCGGACCAATGAAAGTCAGAATTTAAAGGACATCAAAAGAATTGAATTGTTTGGAAAAAAAAGCTGTTTTTATTTATTCAATAGGGTATTTGAAAGTGATTTTCTAATATTATTGGCATAAAAATCTTATAATTTTTCTTTTTTGTTTTTTATGCTATTTATATTTCATTTAGTTCAGACTTAAGGTTGATCTTATGGGGATTTGTGAAACGTGACGCTAAACATATTCTGTGCCCACACAAATTTATTATACAATTTTAATTAGGTACATTTATGGTGGGTTTATTTTATCAAATGAGCGTGAAACCTCCGATATTTTAGAAATTCTGTTTGCAGCTTGTGAGCTTCACCTTCAAGAATTAGTTGAGTATTTACAAAAATATTTAATTGAAACAAAATCTGAATGGATTGAATAACATTTCAAACTCATTTATAGAACAAGCTTCCAGTATAATTCTTTATTGGAGCTACAACGTTTATGTATAGATTTTATAGCTAATTCACCTGATAAAGTATTTAAATCACTTGACTTTATTTCGCTATCAGAAAAATTTTTAATTTCAATTATTAAAAGGGTTGATTTACAAATGAAAGAAGTTGAAATGTGGGAACATGTATTAAAATGGGGTCTTGAAAAACATCCTACATTAATTCCGGATCCTATGACTTGGACAGTGAAGAATTCATCAAAAAAGTTCATCCGTATAAAAAGGCTTTTTGAAAATCAATTTTATGAAGGACTATTAAATTCCTATTTGGATCCTAATAGTAAGTGATGATATTTTACTCCCTAGATATAGAAATATTGATGGAATCATTGATACAACCATTGTTAATTTAAACATTGTTTCCATAATCTCAAGATGGATCGACAAGATAGAAATTAAAAGCAAAGTTGCTTATGCAAGAGAACTGTATTTTCCATACAAATTTAAATTATTATTAAGAGGAAGCCGAGATGGAATTGCCCCTAAATCCTTTCATGATTTACTTAAACTGTTACTTTCATTAAAGTAAAAGGAACAGGAGAAATACTTGGAGGATATAATCCTTTAGTATGGAGAAGACCAACCAATAATTTAGTTGAATATGGTCAAATTATTGATAGCTTCATATTTTCTTTTAAGTATAAGGATAATTGTAGAGATTCAATTTTAAGCTATGTGAAGAATACTGATAAAGCTTTATGTTATATTAATGTATATGGTTCTTCATTTGGTAATGATCTTTATATATCGTATGCTAATTATTTTAATAATAATTGCATATGAAAGAAGATAAGAGATACAAAAGAAAATTTCGATGTTGAAGATTATGAAGTATTTCAAATTTTAAAGAATCAGAGTTAATTATTTAATTGCTATAATTTCTAAATTTAATATTATTAATAATGCGTGAGAATATTGTTAATCTATGATGAATTGAAAGCTTTCTCGATCAAAATATGTAATTGTAACGATTTTTATACATAAATAAAATGTTGCATATATTCCATATTATTATTAATTTTATGATGCCGACGTTATAATCTGTACAGCTCTTTTTTTTTTTTCTACGAGAGTAACAAAGAAAGAGCACTAATTTAACTTACAAAACAATCAGTGTAATTTTAGAAATGAACTGCTAGATACATGTTAATGATCGATATTCCGTTGTCCGCCCGCTAGTCATATAACGATAAATTAAAAAGAGCCTCAATATATATGTATGTATAAAAGTTATTAAAATAAAGGCAATTGACATCTGTAAATGACGCGATTCATTGCAAATTGTGATTTACAAACTTTGAATTTATTCAAAATTTGACATCAAAAAGAAAAACTACGGAAAGGAGATTTTATTACCCGTAATTTATGTTTTACACATTGCAGAAAATATTTCAATAAATGAAATTACCTATTTGTTTTAAATAATCTTTTTTTCTAGACTTAGCAAATCGAGATGGGGGTTTAATTTAGATGTTAATTTAGCTAGTCCATAATATTTATGGTCGATTAAAATCAAAATAATATCCTAAGAAAAGATTCACGACAAACGATTCATTTATGTAGTTAATTAAACCCTATATGTGTACAAGATGGTTTACTCTATAGAACTCTAAAACTCTGACGACTCAAAGTTTATATACCCCGAATTCTATGATAAAGTTGTAGTATCATTTTCATGCTAATAGCGACTCACGCGGCTATCGCAATAACAAACTCACATTTAACTGAAGTTTACAAACGAATATTTTTTTTACGTTTTCGATCTCAATACATTTGGAACTTTTCCCATATTTTTTTATTTCGTAGTATTGGTCATGTGATTTTATAAAAGCGTAAATTAATTCGGAGACACAAAGATGACAGGTTGATGTTGTGATGTCCTGTTTCACACAAAAAAAATTGGCTGCTGATAAAATCTATATTGTTGTTCATGATATTGTTTTCATAGCGGCGGCTAAAACGTAGCACATCAGAAAGTCCTGTAACTCTAACCATTTTTGTACACATCTCCGTATAATATCGGAATTAAGACCTGATTAAGTATAATCAAACTCAATACATCTTTGTTGGCGATTTGTAAAGCCACGAAAATATTGTTTAGATTAGGCGTAAATGCATGCTTGCACCATGAAATTTTTCGTCCCAATTTCTTAATTAATTAATACTAATAAAAAAGATAATAATCATTTTACCTCCGAAATAACCCCCTTGTGAAACAAGGTAATCTTTTAATGATGGATGGGGTTTTCGTCCACAATATATATATATCACGACAAATTTTCAGAACTCAACCGATCTTATATAATATCAAAAAAAATTCGCAACGAATTGATATATTGTATTTTGACTTCAACCTTCCAATATTTTTACTTAAATTGAAACTCTCTTATTCGTTTGGACCCAAAATTATATAAATAATTTTGTTATTCCTTGAAAATGTTATTAAATTTAATTCCTATTATTGGTCCACTTCATATTTTTTCAACATATCATTTCTTTATCATGGTTTATTTGAAAATAATAAATTATTAAAATTATTATCTCTTGATGCGAGCCTTCATGGGAAGGCGATGCGAGCCTTCACGGGAAGGCGGTGCGAGCCTTCACGGGAAGGAGGTGCGAGCCTTCACGGGAAGGAGGTGCGAGCCTTCACGGGAAGGCGGTGCGAGCCTTCACGGGAAGGCGGTGCGAGTCTTCATGGGAAGGCTCTAGCGCCCGTTATATCAGTGACGCGATGACGCGTTACTGTCGTATCCAATAATCTTATTTTACATCTAACTTAAAAACATTAAAGATGCAGACGATAATTAATTTATTAGATAATTCTATTCCTCTAAATAGACAATACTTTTAAAAAAAGGATATATATTAAAGAACATTTCTAATTATTTCAAATATTAAGAAGACATAATTAGAAAAAAAAATATTATTTTTTTTAATGTATTTATTAGACTTCAAGACAATATTTAATAATTGATAATTTTAAAAAATAATTTACCAATTTTCAATTGAAAAATTTTCATAGTCTTTAAGACATGCTTATGCTGTCAAAAAAATTTTTTACTTTTTTTTTTTCGAATATAGATTTTTTTCACATTGAGTTGGGTCGCTTTGGTTAAAATTTTTTGTTAATAGGTAATTTAATTAAGAGATTTATTTAATAAAACGATTGAATTGGGCGAATGTCAATTTTGATAAATTTTATTCGGGAAATTTTTTGTTTTTTTTTACAGAGAGTTACGTCATTTATTATTATGAAAGTCAAAAATAAAATTATGACAGAATTTAAATTCTTGGGTATTATACTAATACCATTTAATATAATTTAAGATCTGTTTCTATAATAAATTTAGTTCATCGACTAGTTAACGTCATAAAATTAAAAATTTATGTACTATGAGGTAAAGTTTATCGCACAGTGCACATATTTTCTGCCGCACTAACATAGTCTATAAATTTAACGCCCAAAATTAAATCACTGAGAATTCAAGGCTCTTTTTTGCAAACGGAGCTTCTTATACATTTAACACTTTTAAAAATGCCTGCAGGATCAGATTTATTGGACCGATTAAAATCTGAGCACACACGAAATGACGCATTGGATGACTTGAAACGTTTTCTCTCGGATAACGATCCTAATATCAAAAGTAACATATTGTATAATTGTATCAGCTATATTGCCTCGCACACCTACCATTTTACCGACAGACAATACGAAGAACTTGCTAGTCTCGCGATATCTAATAAGGTGCTCACAACAAAACAGAAATCGAATATTGAATCTTGGATCGACAATCGAGATGACCTTATCGAGGAAAAAGGAAGTGGGATGCATTACGTTCCTTATGATGGGCCGGATGATATCGATAGGTATCTAGGACATGGAGAATTTGATGATGACGCTGGATATTATGTGTGTGATTAACTGATCAAAGTGTCCTTTGGTTATACATATTTTAATCATGAAAATTCTTGGTTTTATTGTAATTGTTCTAAAAAAAAAAAAATCCGTTTTACATTTTATGTTAAATATATATCAATATCTATATTCTTATGTCTTGTCAATATTTATAAGTTTTCTTTTTGTTGCAAAGAAATTTAAGATCTTACTTTCCGGATTCCATGTAAAATTTTGTCACTGCGGCTGTCTCAATCTAGTCATTGACATAATTATCGCATTATAAAGATCTCAATGAAGCATATTTTTTTTTTTTTTTTGAAAGTGATTGATTGCTCTTTCTGAATTATATAAAAAAAAAAGAAATAACTCTACTGGACATACCAAATTATCTTATCCACCCACAACCATTACGGAATTTCATCAACGTTACTCTAGCTCATTTTCAAAAATTGGAACCGGATTTAATCCGAATTTATTATATCGGATTCAATCCGGATTTATTATATCCGAATTTATTGTATCCGATAAAGCCCTCAACTGCTAGAATTGCTAGAAGTGGTTTAGAACTTTCATAATGCTTTGCATGCAAATATTTAAATTATTTTGCTTAACGAAAAAAATTCTTATGCAATAAATCTGGTTATAACGATAAAAAGATAATACATTTGTTTGCGTCCTTTTCTTTTCTTTAGGACACTTTTCAGGCTGTGACACATAAAAAGTTTTTTTATAATTTTGTTTTATTTATTGATAAATATGTTTCTTTAATTTTATTTATCATTAAATTTTGTTGCTCATTTTTTTAGATGATTGAATCATTGCGGGCCGTAGCCATCAAAAGATCACGCAGTATGTATTTTTTTTATTTTTAGTTTTCAATTTTTCTATTTACTTTTTTTTTAAAGAATTTGCTCTTAGACGCAAACTATTATATTAGCCAATATAAAATAAATAAATTTGTTAGTTAATTGTGACGCGCATTTGTATGACTGGTCAAAAATAACTAGATACCGGGTTTAAATAATCCGATTATAATAAATCCGGAGGTTTAAATAAATTCGGATATAATAAATCTGCTGGGCAAATTTTGTATCCGGTTATAAATCTAAACCGGGGGAAACCGGATTTAAATCCGAAGATCAAATTCGGTTTTAACCTCTAGTCCTAAGATCGTTTATTTTTTGCTATTATTTTTTCCGTGTCTCCATACAGGCGTGATTGTGATAAAGTTTTGTAATTAATTCGAAGGACTGAATTAAATTACGTGATTGTTCTTTACAGAAACCCGGTCAACGACCATGCCTTTACATAGCTTTATACAACAGTTCCTCAGTGCTGATATATTTTTAAACCCGCAATATTGCGAAATTTAAATTGCAAAATCCACAGGTCAAATTTTTTCCAACAGATACAAAATAGACCATTGCATAATAAAATCGGAATTTTTAATATTTTTCCATAAATAAAAGACTATCTTTATTAAATTAATTTATATCGATAGCAAAATGTCTACTAGTGAACCCTCCAAAACATCTGACCTAAGAAGGGACAATGAGTCCAACGAAACTTCAAGTATCGATGTCGAAACTTTGAGTCTTGAAGCTGAATCCTATATATCTTTTAAATCGAAGAAGTCTAATTCATCTGTAAACTCTTCGATAGATTCATTATCGAATTCTATATCTAAGATGAGCATAGCCTCATCCTTCAAAGAAAAAAAGCAAAAAATTTTAAAATCAGTTAAAAACAGATTAAAAAATTTTAACGAGAATATGCGTAAAGCATTTAATAAAGAATTTCAAGCCTTTGTTTTAAAGGATAAGGAAAGGAAATTGGAAGGAAACTTTTTGGGTTATTACGAATGCTTGATTTCCGGTAATTCCGAATTATCGATTCCAACAATCTCTTTAACGACAGCTAGAATTGATTTACACGAAATTAAAACACAAGAGCCAGCAAAAGCAATGTATTTGGTTTTAACAAAGATCAAAGAATCTCCATATATTAATAGCTCATCATTATTTATCATCACTGGTAAAAGTTTAGAAAATAAGGATAGAACAGGATATATAGGAACAAAATTTAATGAATTTCCTCATTGGATGCAACATGATTCTATTAAGGATTTATTAGTCGGAAAGCCTGTAAAAGGACTTGGAACTTATAGAGTATTAATCAAAAATATGAAAAATACGAATAATGAAAGTAATATTTATAAAGATATTAACTTGAAGGAATTGGAAGAAATGGCTGAGAAAGAAGTCGGGTTTAACTATAAAATGTCATTAGCAACTGGGTATTATATAATGGGCGCCAAAGATTTGAAAACCGCAAATTTGTACCCCGCTGAGGAGATGTATAAAAATGCTACAAAGTGGTATCGTAAAGCTGAAATGTCAGGATCCATTGAGGCGAAGTTATGTCTAGGATACATGTATAGTATTGGGTTTAATATATCGGATTATAATCCAGAAAAGGCAAAAAAATTATTTAAAGAAGTGATTAAAGCAAATGAAAATGCAGAAAATTCAAATTCAAGTAAAGAAACGGAAAAGGCAACCACAGCTAAAGAATTGGCCAGAATAGCAATGAGGAATATAGCCATATTATATCATAATAGCCATGTTATAAAACCCTTTGAATGGAAAAATATTATAAAGGTTACTAAATTAATCGACATTACTTTCCCAAAATTAACAAAAATTAAATTAAAGTTAGCAATAAAATGGTATAAAAAATCATGTGAATTAAACGATAGTCAATCTGCATATAATCTTGGATTACTTTACGAAGATAAGAATGGAATGAATGATAAAATTGAAGCAGCAAAGTGGTTTGGAAAAGCTGTTGATTTTGATGGGAATAATTTATATGCGAAAGCTAAACTTGGAAGAATATTATTAATAGATAATAAAGATTTGGATGAAGATAAGAAGTTGAAGGGAATTACAATGATGAAAGAAGCAGCAGAAGGCGGGTTAGCTGTGGGCCAAACATTAATTGGTAAATTTTATGAAAATGAAGGAAATTATGAAGAGGCTATCAAATTTTATTATGAGGCTGCAAATCAAAATCGTGGATATTATAGTCATGTTGCACAATACCGTCTTAAAAAATTGGATGTTGAAAATCATATTCATAAAGATAAAAACATTATTGATATTAAAAAATTGTATGAAAAAGAATTAAATTATTACTATTGTGATGATGAAGCAATTCTTGAAAATATTAATTATCAATTATAAATTGTAGCGAACAAATTGGCATTCAAAAAAAAAAATCTCTTTTAAATAAAATTATCAATTACGTTATAGCTCTTTAATCCGTAATTTGTGATTTTAATGTAACTTGACTCACTACTCGTCATCTCCCCCAAAAAATATTGATCCGTGTTTGTTTTCCATATTTTTTTCAGTGAAGGGCTCATTTTCACTGATGTCACGAAAAAAAAATGGCAAAATTTTTTATAGGGTCTTGGACAAGACCTTTATCACAATTGTTAACAATTTGATTTAATGTACAAAAACATTATGGGCACAGTTTAACTTTTTTTTTTTTTTAAAAAAAAAAGATGAATACATTTAACAAACGAAACTTACAAAATATCAACGCCAAAATTAAATTCTAAATGACAACAAATATTTATTTTTATGCAGAAATATAACTATCCTATATTAGATATACGTGATTTAGTATTAAGAATGGTAACTTCTGGATATTTCAGAGATTACAATTCAGTGAATATACCCTAAGTCAATATTACGAATCAATACAATATCATGTAAAATTAAAAATAATATAAATTTACAAATTGGTTAAATAGTTGTGAAGGATAAGTTTTTATTTGGTTAATTATACTCTTTATTAATATGATAATAAAAGTAAGTTCTAGAGACTTGATAAAAATACAGAGTTATTATATATATTGAATAATTAATAAAAAAAAAAGTAAACCAAAGAAAATAAATAGACATGTTACTAGAAAATAAAGTTGTCAAAATGATCAGAGATTTATATTGATTCTTAGCTAAAATTTATCCTATTACAACATATACTTTATCTTATTTTAACTATAAAATTATTCTTCTGCTTAATATACAATATATATTATCAGTTTTTTTATAATTTCTAAGTAATATTAAAAACTAACTATAATAATATTTAATTATAATAAAACAAAAAAAAATAATTTGTTATTTAATAATTACAAACTACTTTTTATTATATAATAATTATTATATATATAGTGATATTCATTAATATATATTAAAACTTGATTTCAAATAAATTTATAATATGTATAAAAAATTAAGTATAGTAAATATTTTCTTTTTCTTTTAAAAATCAAAAATTTAATTAAATAAATATATAATTTATATTAAATAAAAATATTTATTTCATTATCCGTAATAATTGCATTTTCTATAAATTAAAAATAAAATATTTAATATAATAAAATTAAAATTACTTAAAATTTTAAAATTTAATTACCAATACTTTGACTAATTATTATTATATTATTTTGATTAAGTTTTATTTAAATTTTTAGTAAATTCAAGTAAATAACTTGTATAATATGCTTTTGAATAAAATTCAACATTAATTATATTACTATCTGTATTATTGTTTTCCTTTGTTTTAATATTTTATCTGCTTTATAAAAGTTTATAATATCATTCATTAATTCTTTATCAAAATCTTTAATAATAATGTTATTTTTCCAATTTTCAATAATCTTTTTAATATTTAATGCAGTTGGTCTTTTTAATGGATCTATATCCCAACATTTTTTCATTAAATTTATATAATATTGTGGAGTGTTTTCAATAATTTTAGGTTATCTTTTATTTTTATAATTACTTAAAGCAAGTTAAAGATCATGAGCTTCATTTGAATAGAAAACTTCCAGAAGTAAATGTTCACATAATCATAGAAAAACTATATATATCACTAGCTAAGTATAAGGTTTTCCTCTCAAAACTTCAGATGCTATAAATGGTAAAATACCATAAATTTCATTTTGTTTAGAAGATTGAAAATATTTTACAGGTTTACATAATCCCAAATCACTAATAGATAAAACTTTGTTTCTAATATTTAAAATATTATCATGATGAAAATTACAATGAATAAGATTTTTTTGATGTATTTTATTAAGTCCACTAATAATATTATATAATTGTGATAATTTAATAATCTATCTATCTTTAACTATATTTTATAAATTTTTACCTAAACTATTATTTTCTCATATTTCATTACTTTCATTACTTCTATATAATTTAATGTATTTGGATCTTGAGTAAATCCATATAATTAAATAAGATTTTCATCTAAATAATTTTTTAACTGACTATAACGTATATAATAAGATTTCACTAAAATAATAAAATATAATTTAAAATTTATTAATAATAAGTTAAAATAATTAATAATTCTCATTTAAAAATTCTTCATTTAAATTATATAATTTATCAAAACATTTAAGAGATACTTCTATTTTATTACTTCTAATCCAATTTTTAACATTATGTGAATAAGATTTATTAAATCCACTTAACTAAGTAGCTTTATATATAATGCTAAATCCTTCTTTATCAAGATATTTAATATTTATAAATTTATCATAAAAAATCCATTCTAATATTTGTCTTCTATTTTTAGCATACAATTGAATATCTTGAATATATTTATCAATAAATTTATTGTGTTAGTCTAATTAGAAAAATGTTGTTGAAATAATTTAGAATTACAATATATAGATCAAAATGGGAGTTCTAGAACAAAATTTCAGAATAGCTGTATAAATAGTAAGCCTCTGCCTAAGTGCAAAACAGTATATGAATTTTTATGGAATCTATATTGTACTCTAAATTATCTTACAAGATTAGAAAACATATCAAAATCCTATATTAAATTCATGTTTTAAAATGAGCTAGGTGTAAATCCTGTTAACTTATCTCCTTACACATATTTTTAGCTTTCAAGATAAAGAAGTATACCATTTTTATTAGCATAATGGCTTATTTTTAATCCCAAATTATATAACGAAAAATATATGCTATTCTGTTCGCCCTATAAATGAGTATAGAATACTGAGGACGGAAGTGTTCAAGTGTACTCTATATGAGTTTCTGCATGCTCAATAAACATATCTTAGTTTTATGTTATCATAGAATTAATTCTAAAGCTGATTCATTATCATATAGCAAAGGTCAAAAATCTAACCAAAAGAAATTCGTCTAGCCAAGTCCATCCAAAAAAATCTAACCAAAAGTTATTATCTATTCTGAGTTTTTAAGGCCTTATCAAACTTATCAAATAATCTGTTATAGTATTGGATCATATAATAACCTTTAACATGTAGTGAACACTTAGACGAATCAGTAAGCTTACCACATATACTACATAGTACACATACCTTAGTTTTCCAATACTCATGACACCCTTCTTCACGTATGCAAAACTTACCACAAGTCTTGCCAATCGAGTTTTTGAATCAGGTTCAGTTCAAGTCATAAAATTAAATTCAACTTGATTCGAGAGTAAGAATGAGTTGACTTGAGTTCAACCATTAATGATTAAACAATTCTACTTTTTAATCGATGTAAATCCATAATAGGTTGGTTGATCATCATTTTTTTTTAAAAAAAAATTAAGCATTAGTTTCAGAACAACACTAGTGTTAAATTAATAATTATATATATTACTTGTATCGTAAGATATATTGGTTTTATTAATAAGCATTATATTAACATTTATTAATGTGTCTATTATTATTTTCTTCT